AGAGCGTCTCAAACAGGCGAGCTTCCGGCTTGGGGAAGAGAGAGCCAGAGATGTGCAGACGAGGGCCCCTCCAAAGTGGGGGCCTCGAGAGCGGGGAGACCCGGTGGGAACCTCCAAGGAGGGGCCCTTCTCCTGCCAAGTGCACCGCTGCCCCGGAGGCAGCTTGGAGTGCAGGTGGGGTGCTGGAGGCTGTGGCCCCAAGAGAGGTGCTCAGGGATCTAGTGGGGGTCCTAGAGCGAGATGTCACCCCCATCCACAGGTTGGGGTCCTTGAGTTTCTATGCTGCTTGCAGGCAACACTTGTGAGCTGTCCCCATGCTCCCCCCTGCTTGGTTCAGGAACCCCGTAAGCTGCTTAGGATTCTCTTGCAGGGCCTGGGGGTGCAGGGGATCCAGTCTGGGGCTCCCCTACACTTGTGGCTTCCCGAAGTTCATACCTGCTGTCTCCATAGGTGAGTCACTGCAAGAGAGGGCCTGGTGAGCTGGTCTTTGGCTTGTTTTTCCAAAGTCTGTGCCAGCAGCTCTTTGCCTGTGTCAGGTGCCACGTGGGACCCGTGTGGAAGGCATGCCCTCCCCTCCACCCAGGAGGTGACGCGCAGTCCCCAGCCGGCCACTCTCTGGCCACCTCCAGATCCCCAAGGTGCCGGGGTAATTAATCTCTGCTTCCGCCCTCCATGCTGGGCCCATGTCCATCCCTCGCCCTCCCCAACATGACCACCATTTGGGGTGCAAGTGGGTGGGAATCTCAGGCTAAGCAAACACTGACGAGAGGTCCCAGTTCCAAAAGGGGTACAAGTCGGACCACTGAGAACTGTGGCTGTCCCAGAGGAAGTTACGACAAAAATGTGCATTTCTCCCTGTTTGGGTCTCAGAGAGTCTAGGGGTGGACATCGTGGGTGGGACGTGGGGACGTGGGGAGGAGGAAATAGTCGGACGCTCCGTGCAGGAGATGGCTGGGTCCGGCTGCATCAGTGCGCCCTTGCTCTTACTACTAAATTACTTACATTACTTGTTATTTATCCCGAATAAACAGTCCCACGCGACCGACGCTATTATCGTTCCCACTCGACAGATTAGGAAACTGAGGCTCCTGTGAATGAAGCGAGCTGGCCGAGCCTTCAGGGCTGGGGATGTGTCCCAGATCCACCTGACGGCCGGGCCTGTGCTCTGCCCGGGAGCCGGGCCGTGGGCTGGGGAGGGAGGGGACGAGGAAGGTGGCTGAGGCTCCACGCCGGGGGCTTCTGGGGACAGAGCTCCACTCTTTATTTTCCAAGGCTTCCCCAGTGCCCACCGCAGCCTCACATGGAGCCACAGGTCAGGAAAACGTGTTGGGGGTTAGGTGTCCTCCAGCCTGCTCCCTGGATCCCCTCTGCGCGTCACCCCCCCACTCCCCCCAGATGGCGGCAGAGGTGGCGAAGCTGCATTCGTAATGTGTTCGGTGTTTGCTACGTGCTGGGTTTTGCATAAACCATCCCATCCCTTATTCTCGCCACAACCCCACGGGAGAGACGCTGTTCTTCCTCCATTTAAAGAGGAGGAAACACGGGCAGAGGGAGAGGCAGCTCGTGGGTGACGGGCTGGGATTAGAACTGGGAGCAGCTCGAGCTTGGTGGGAGGTTTCTGGCTCCTTCCAGCCAGGAGCTGCTGTCGGCACGAGGGTGTTCGCTTCGAAGAACAAGATTCGAGAGGCCTCCCTTCCCGAATAGAATGACAGTCGTTTTTAATGTTTTTAAAACATCGTTCCTTGAGCTTCATTTTGTACCAAATACTATGCCATGAACATCCCATAGTTCGATTCGAAAGTCTTTTTAATGACCTTATAAGGTAAATATTAATATACCCACTTTACAGATGAGTTAACTGAGGCTCAGAGGGGTCAAAAGACTTGCCCACCCCGCCCAGCTGTCAGTGAGGATCGGGGGCCCAAACCCACATCCTCGAGACGGCAGACCCCTCGCCAGCCCCCTCGCCGTTGGTCGGCAGGTTGGGCAAAGCCCAGGTCCACTGCGAAGCATGTATGCGGGGAGGAGGCGAAGGGCCTGGGAGGGGTCCCGCCTGCCAGCACCTTCGCTGGTGCATTCGGGCACCGAGACCACGGGGATAGCAAGGGCCTGGAGCAAAGCAGCCCTCGGTGCTGCCACTCAGGGCAGGCAGGGCGGGCTGTGCGCCCGGCCAGGAGGGGCTGCTGACAGCGTTCTCCGCCCGAGAGGGGAAGGCAGACCCTCCACCGAGCCCGGGCTCCAGGGTCCCCATCGTCCTTTACTCTTTGGGGAGCCGCAGGGCGTTTTCGACCCTAGAGCCCAGTCTCTGAGGTCAGACGGGTTTTGCCCAGGTCCCCGCCTGACCCCGGCTCGCTCGGCCCCCGTTTCTGAGCCTCAGCTTCCTGGTCTGTACGTGGGGCTCCAGGGCTGCAGTGGGGATTCCAGGGGAGCCAGGAAAGCATGTGGCACCGTGGGTGGCCTGCAGATGTGCCCGGTGGGTGGAAACAGCAGTGCTTAGAGAGGGATACTGCCCACCCACGCCCGCACCAGGGCACCCAGCAGACTCCGGGGGGCAACAGTCTCGGTGCCGGGAGTGGAGGCTCTTCCCGCACAGCTGGGCCAGGAGGAACTTCTCTGTACTGTCACCTGTGTCCCCTCTCCAAGGCATGCTGCCCAGACTCCAAACCTCAAAGCCAGAAGGGGTCTTAGCAGCTGGCCAAGCTTGGGCTCAGAGTCGGCCGGAGCCCGTGCCAGTCCCAGCCCTGCCGTGGGAGCCCGGGCGAGTGACTTTGCCTCTCTGAGCTGCGTTTTCCTCATCCGTTAAATGGGCCGCTGGGACACGTCACGCAAGACTGACACATAAGGTGCTGGGCACATGCCAGTTAGTGCCGCTGTAGCGATGACGGTCACCCTCATCAGCACCATCACCGTTATGGAAGGAAGTGCCAAGTCCAGACGCCCTCGGGTCCCCTCCAGCTCTAGACCTGTGACGTGACCGGAGCCCTTCTTATTTCCTCCTCCGTAGCCCTGGGCTTGACAGTCCCAAAGGGAGCCAGGTGACGGGTGACACGCGCCCATCGTGGCTTCCTTGGTGGAAAATGGCCTCCGTGTCTTGTTACCACGATCTACGAAACTATCTTTATTGAGATCTCCCTGATTATGAAAACGAACCATTCTTTTTCTATGTCATTCTTTTTATTGAGGTAAAATACACGGAACGTGAAATTTGCTGTTTTAACCATTTTTAGGTGCCCAGTTCCGTGGCGTTAGGTACATTCACGCTGTCATGCAGCCACCCCCACCTCCATCTCCAGAACTTTCTCATCTTCTCAAACTGAAACTCTGTTCCCATTACACACTCCCCATTTCCTCCTCCCCCAGCCCCTGGCTCCCACCATTCTACCTTCTGTCTCTACAAATCTGACTCCTCCAGGGACCTCCTATAAATGGGATCGTACAGTATTCGTCGTTCCGGGATTGGCTCATTTCACTTTGCACAGTGTCCTCAGGGTTCATCCACATTGTAGCATGTGTCAGAATTTCCTTCCTTTTAAAGCTGGATAATATTCCATGGGGTGTACATACGACATTTTGTTTATCCATCACCTGTCAGGAGACGCGGGTTGCTTCTGCTTTCTGGCCATTGTGAATAATGCTGCTGTGAATCTGGGGCCACGATTATCTTTCTGAGCGCCTTTCTCTACTTTCGAGTACAGAAGTGAAATCGGTAGATCAAGTGACAAGTCCGTGTTTGATTTTTTGAGGAGGCCCCCATACCGTTCTCCACAGCCCCACCACCAGTGCTCAGGGTTCCGATGGCTCCACATCCGCTCCAACACCTGTCATTTTCTGGGGTTTTGTTTGTTCTTTTGATAATAGCCATCCCAATGGGTGTGCAAGTGGTATCGTGGTTTCGATTGGCACTTCCTTAATGATTAGTGATGCTGAGCACCTTTTCATTATACGTACTCATAGTAAGGAAAATGCAAAAACGGTAAGAATAGGTGATAAAAAACGTGAGCATCTCCCTTAAACCCTTCCTCGGGAGGAACCTCCACTGCAGTTTGGGTCTCGAGCGTCTGGATTTTTCTCTGTGCGTGTGCCAACACATCGTACGTTTCTCCAATGACCTCATGCGGTGTTCCGCCCAGCTTGGCCTCATTCTCACGGCCCACGATGGACCGGCTGGGCCCTGTACTTCCCATGTGGAATCATGGTCTCACGCCTCCCCACCCGCCGCCACATGCTTGAGGGGTTCAGCACCCAGAACGGGCTTCCTCAGCCTTGCAGCACCCCCACCCGCCCCCAGCTGTCTCATAGCAACCCGCTCCCCCTAGACCCTGCTTCTCGCTGGTGGACCCTCCATATAACCTGTTCTGTAAGCTCTTCCTCCCCCGTCCACCTCCCCTGCTCCCGGGGACAGCGTAGGTGACAACCCCTCCACGAGGCCTGTCCCTAATCGATGGATATTTAGGCTGATCCCAACCTTCACTGTCAGGAACACTCCTGCTAGAGATGACATCTGCCAGCTCCGCAGAGGTAGAACATTCTCCCGCCCTGTCTCCAGCTTCACTTGCCATCATCTCAGTGGGGCTCAGGGAGCCAGTCAGTCCCTCTGGAGGGGGGCCCTTTGGTGGCCCCCAGACCAGGTCAGGGCCCTTATGCAGCACACGGCAGCTGCCCTGCAGCTGGTACAGAATTGAAGGAAGGAGACGTGCCGTGGGCACACTCCTGCTCCACACTGTGCCTGCTCCGGGGCCACGCCCAGCGCAGCCTGGCGCCCAGCCGCGTGAACAGACAGTGCCATCCGACTTCTGTGCCCGTGATTTCGATCTCCCTGCACCAGGGACCGACAGAGTCGGCTTTTATATCCGGATTCTTCAGGTGAGACAATGGAAACCTGCAAAGTTATGGAATTCACCCAGAATTCCTCAGGCTAGGGGACACAGAGACAGCCCAGGACCCTGGGGTTGGCGCCGCTCTGGCTGAAGGCGGGGGCTTCCCTGGGCAGGGCAGATGCCAGGTGTGCACGCATGTGCACGTGCACACACCGCACACACCGACAAAGCGATGACCCAGCGCCGAGGACGGGGGTTTCTGTCTCCCCCTCAGAACCTCCTCCCACCCGACCTGTCTGCTCACTGCGCCTCCGAGGAGCTGTGTCCTTCTGGAACAGTGCTCAGGTTTTTTAAATAACTTTTTTATAGCGTGTCGTAAAATACACATGACATGAAATTTGCCACCTTAACTATTTTTTTTTTTTTTTACACCCATGGCACCTAGTCTTCCGGGGTGGTCTCCCATCCAAGTACTAACCAGGCCCGACCCTGCTTAGCTTCTGAGATCAGACGGGATTGGGCGTGTTCAGGGTGGCATGGCCGGAAACCATGGACTGTGGCTCCACTGGGGCGCGAACCCAGGACCTTCTGCGTGTAAAGCAGACGTGCTAACCCCTACGCTATGGAACCGCGTCCTTAACCATTTTCAAGTGTACGTTTCGGTGGCATTAAGTACATTCACACTGTGATGCAGCCACGCCCACCCTCCGTCTCCCTCCAGAACTCTCTCATCTTCCCAGACCGAAATTCCGTCCCCGTTACACACTAACTCCCCGCCCCTCCCCCAGTCCCTGGCCGCCTCTCGTCCACTCTCTCTTACTCGAAGCACCTCATGTAAGTGGAGTCATGCAATATTTGTCTTTTGTAAAAATAACTTTTTAAAAATGGGTACAGGTAATGTATATTCGTGGTAAGAAAACATTTTAAATGCAGAATTACACACAAGACAATAAAACTCACCCTCGGTCTTTCCACCCAGCGAGAAGCACAGTTAACATTCAGCGCCGCCTCCCAGACCTTTTTCTCTGCATCTAAACACATTTACATGTTCCTTCTACAGAAATGGCTTCGCCCTGTAAATCCTGTTTGGTAATTGGCCTCTACCCCTCGCTCTCCTTCGGTGGCTATAAATATACATCCTCTTCATCCTTTGCAGTGGCCTGGAGTGCTCCATTGTCTAGACTTGGCCACAGTTCAGCCCATCCGTCTCCTGCTCAAGGGCATTGGGTTGGTGTGCGTCCTTCACTGTTATGGAAAACACCGCCGTGGACAGCCTTGACCGTGAATCGTGGTGCACATCTCTGACTGGTTCCCGGGGAGATGCCTGCAAACGGGAAAGCTGAGTGCTGGGAGATGTGTCGTAAAGACTCCCGAGTCTAGGGTCAAATGCCCTTCAGAAAGCTGCCCCTGATTTACCCTGCCCCATGGCACCACAGGCTGGTCCCCACCCCCCAGAGAAGCCAGGATGGCAGACTAGAGGCCGGGCTGACCCCCAAGCCAGAAGAGCCAGGACCCCTCCTCCTAGCCCCAGCCAGCGAGACACTGCCCACAAAACTGTCCCCCCACCAGCCAACGAGGAGCCCATCTTTGTTCCCTCCCCAGGGACAGGTGTCAGGCGTCAGGACGGCAGGACCTGGGGAATATTTGTGCTTCCTGCATAGCGGAGTGCAGGCATCTCAGACCCCAGCTCAGCGAGAGGGGCTGAGAGCGGAGATTGTGAGGCCGGAAGGGCGTGAGAGGTGGCGGGGACAGACCCTGACACCCAGGCGTCCTTTATGGGGCACCTGCTGCACAGGGCCCTCAGAGTAGCCTCAGGGACGAGCCCCATTTTATCAGTGAGAACAGGGAGGCTCTGAAGGATGGATGCGCCAAGGTCATGCGATCTGCAAGCAGCTGACTTCAAAACCAGCTCTGATTCTGGAGCCCAGGTGCAGGGCCACCAACCCCAGCTGATTGCAGTGAGCAGAGGCCCAGGGAGGTTAAGTGACCTGCCGCTACGGTCACACGGCAAGTCAGAGACAGCCACTTCAGTCACTCTCCTGACCCTGACCCCTGAGCTTCCTGCCAGGCAGACTTCCCCCACGGGCCCACCCCCGCCGGCCTCCCTCTGAGTCCAGGAAGGAATGTAGGTCAGGGAACTCGACTGGGCCATATGAGCGGGGTTCACAGAGCCTTGAGTGATGGCACCATTTGCTTCTATTTCTGGGCCCCGGATTATGTGCTGACAGTGTCAGAACCACAGTCACACCGAGGCTGGCTGTGGTGCTGGAGGGGGGAGAGTGGCCTGGAGGGCTTGTGGGCTGGGGGGGGGGGAGGGTGGGCGGCAGGCCTGGCAGAGGCCGTCACGGCCCCAGCACGTCACCCCCCTGCCCCTCCTTCCAACCCTCCACACCAACAGCGGCAGCGTGGTGAGGGGGCGACAGTGTGGGTGCTCCCCATCTGTAAAGGGACACTGTACAACTACTGCTTCCTGCCCGTCTCTTCCTCAGCCATATGGCTCCCTGCCAGCCTGGCTCGCCAGCCCACCCCTGACGTGCCCAAGAGTCGGAGGTACCCAAAAACCAGAGATCAAATGAATGATTGAAGCAGGCACAGGATGAGCTGGGCCAGCTGGACAGCCAGAATGGCCCAGTGGTCCCCTGGGGGTACGTAGCAAAGGGGCAGAGACCCGAGTGGAGAGAGCCCGTCTCCAAGTGAGGGTAGGGCTTCCCCGGGCTGGAGAGGGCCAGCCGACTCCTCCCAGCCTGGCCTCCTGCCTCCGCTGCCCCATTAGGCCCGGAGTCGCAGGGGTCAGATGCAGCCGCCTTTCTCCAGCTCCCAGCTGCCTGGTGCTCCCTCTGCCACTGGAACTGTGACCTCCCATGGGCTCCATACGGCCCCCGGCCTGGGCCAGGCCTCTACCTGGGTCAGCAGCATACAGGCGGGCTGACCACACACCTCCTGGGCCTCCGCCTGGGCTCCGGAGAACAAGTTGCCACAGAAATGCATGGCAGGCGTGCGCCTAACAAAATTCCCTCCCTCCATTAGGCTCCTTTTCATTAGGCCAGATGGCCTCTCCCGCCACTGCTTCCCGCTTCTGCCCCCCTCCCTTGCTGGCCAGGTATGTCCCAGGGGGGCACACATCAGCCAACCCCATGGCTAATGAGAGAGGCAGGTCCAGGGGAGGCCAGGGCTGCAAATCCCAAACCCACAGCCCTGTGGCGGGCAGGAAACAGGAAGGCCGAGACATTCTGCACTGACCAACGGGGAGCACAGTGTCACTGGGGAGCAATCGGAAGGTCCAGGGCCGTGACTGTCGTGTGCGTATGCCACAGTGCTTCACACACGACAACGGAGGAGTTCCAGGGACATGTGACGTGGCAACTTGCGAAGGCAGGTGCATGGAACAGCGTGCGTAGAGCACGTTGCTGCCTTTATTTAAATCCACACTCTACAGATGACTGGGAGGGGCCGGGGTGGCTGCCTCTGGGGGGCAGGATTACAGGCGACTTAAAACCTTTTGTTTTTGTGAATTTTCTAGTGAACATCTATGGTGCCATTTGTTTTCAACAGTGTTTTTTTGTTGTTTTTTTTTTTTCTGAGCAAGAACAGCTGCAGGTCGACAGTTTTGACACCCACTGCAAAGTTTGTAGGACAGCAGCCAGTGCCAGGCTGCACTGAATGGTCATTTGGTCGTCACCCTCCACCCTTCTCTGGCCCTTCCCGTGTGCCAAGTGTGTGGGGGGACCAACTGCTCTTATATGAAACGTCCAGCATAGGCAAACCCACAGAGACAGGAAGCAGATCGGTGGTTTCCAGGGGCTGGGGGAGGGAGGATGAGGAGCAACAGCTAATGGGTGTGGGGGTCTCCTTTTGGGGGGATGAAATGTTTGGATAGAGGTGCTGGTTACACCTCGTGAATGTACCGAATGCCACCAAACTGTGCACTTAAAAATGGTTCATTGTATGTTACGTGAATTTCACCTCCACTTTTTAAAAAAATGGGGATGGTCTAGTGGTTACTAGAGGGGAAGAGGGAGTGGGGATTTAAATAATTTCTTCAAATAAATGAATGAATGAATGAATGAATAAACAAATAAATTTTTTAAGGATGGGAAGGTAATGTCCTGTTCTCAGGGATGCTGGGGGCTTCGGTGAGGTCCTTTGAGAAAAGTCTCCAGCCCAGGGCCCCGTTTGTCAGCACTCAGATCTGCTAAGGTGCCCTCAGTGGCCCGTGATACCCCTGGTCACCCGCTCTTGTCCTTCAGCAGCTCTGTTGAACACAGTTCCCGGCTGTGAACAGATCGGGTCCTGGCCCTCATGGGGTGCACGCTATGGGACTAGAGATGAGAGAAATGTACGAGAAAATGCGTGAGGTGCCATGTGACCTGCCGGGTGGTGAGAAACGCAGTTAAGAAACACAAAGCGGGAAGTGGGGATCGCCAGGGGGGCTTTGTGGACGGGCGGTGGGGGGTGGGCACGTGGCCGAAGGAGGTGAGGCTGGGCGCCGTGTGAGCATCCCCAGAAGGGCATTCTGGGTAGAGGGACAGCACGAGCAAAGGCCCTGGGTGGGGATGCGCTGGCGGTCGGTGTGTGTGTTTGGGGGGAGGGAGGAGACCCGAGGGGGAGGCGGCACTGACCGGCCCCTGGGGCCCTCTCCCGCCCACAGCCCTGCTCCTGGACATCGTGACGGTGGCCGGCGTGCAGAAGCTCATCAAGAGGCGCGGCCCGTTCGAGACCAGCCCGGGGCTCCTGGACTACCTCACCATGGACGTGTACGCCTTCCCCGCGGGCCACGCCAGCCGCGCGGCCATGGTGTCCAAGTTCTTCCTCAGCCACCTGGTGCTGGCGGTGCCCCTGCGCGTCCTGCTGGTGCTCTGGGCCTTCTGCGTGGGCCTGTCCCGGGTCATGATCGGCCGGCACCACATCACGGACGTCATCTCGGGCTTCGTTATCGGCTACTTCCAGTTCCGCCTGGTGGAGCTGGTCTGGATGTCCTCCAACACTTGCCAGATGCTCATCTCGGCCTGGTGAACCGCCGGCCGGGCCTCGGGGCAGGGGCGGCCCCAGAGAGGTGGCAGCAGGCGGCGGGGCTGGTGGGGGAGGGGTGAACCTGCCACCCCAACTCCTCTTCCCCATCTCGGCTGAGGCCGGCGACTTCAGGCATGTCCGGTGGTGGCCCGGCTCCTTTGCTTGGACTCCGAGGCAGGCCAGGGCCCCGCATGGGGACAGCCCCTGCTTAGCTTCTGCTCTGGAGGTAACAGGTGAGAACCAAGATGGCTGAAGAGGGACTGAGTCTTGTCCTTTCTGTTCGTTGTCATGACGGTCAAGTTCTTGGCCATGCCCACCATGCCACAGCACGACACCTGGCAAAATACCCCCAAACTTCCACGCAGTGCAGATGCCAGCGATGGTTGTCGAGTGTGTAGGGCAGCACCTTCCGAAGGGTGCCCCCCACCCCCGACCCCGGACGCCAGCTCGCAAGACGCTGTGGAAAGAAAAAGGGCTTTGTGGTCAAATAAATTTGGGAAATGCTGCATACTCCGCCCATGTTGGATATTCACAAGGGTGGTTGTTGTCGTAAAGGCTCTGACAAGTCCTGCAGAAAAGCTTCCTGTTGAACCTTGTGTAACCCCATGTTTCCTGAGCTTATTTGACCACAGAACCCTTTTCTTGTGGAACAGCTATTAACCCCCAAGGAACTGCCGTTCCTCAAGCACATTTTGGGAGATGCTGCCCAGGAGCCGAAGGGCCTGAGGTGCAAGCCGGCCTCTCTCAGAACTCGGTGCCACAGCCTGTGGAAAGCCCACGCCCACGGGCATCCGTGCCGCTTTGGCCCCCAGGGGCCGGACTCCATGTGACCTAATAGGTCGTTTCCAAGTCAACCGTTATGGATGTGCATTTCATGTGACAGTACAGATGATGTGCAAACGGACCCTCTGCTGCTCCTGTGTGGCTTTTCTTTGGGTGCTACAAGAGTTTTCCAGGCAGGAAACTGTTACCCTCGGTGGGGTGAGGGAACCTGGGGTCTCTGTTAACAGGGGGCCGAGGCGGGGCTGAGTTTTCATCCCCGGATGGGCCATGGCATCAGGTGGTCCAGGGGCAATGGGCTCCTGGGGTGCCAGGGCAGCGTTCTGGGGAAGGGAAGAGGGAGATTAGTGGGGTCGGGCCAGGGAGGAGGGGAAGCGTGTTCCGGGCAGAGGGAAGGGTAGGGCAAGGGCCAGGAGGCAGAAGGGGCCATGCCTCCCACAGATGAGCAGGACACCCCGAGTGGCTGCACCCAGAGTGGGGGGCGGGGCGAACAACTTGCCCATCGCACGCATGAGAGGACTGAGGCCCTAAGAGAAGCGGTGAGCTGCCCAGGTCGCCCAGCCGGGCGGCCGCACAGCAGGATGGGAATCCTGCCCACACCCGCCACATCAGCCTCCTGCGCTGGCCTCTGCGGGGTAGCTCGGGGCAGGCAGGGGTGAGCTGGGCGCTCGCACCCCACCCAGCAGCTTGGTCTCCCAGACTGCCACAACAAAGACCCACAGCCCGGTGGCTTAACACGACAGAAATGCATCCTCTCACAAATGCATCTTCCCAGGAGGTGCGAAGCCCAGAATCGCGTCGCGGGGGCCACGCGGCTGCTGAGGCTCTGGGGAGAATGTTCCTTCACTCTCCCAGCTTCGGGCGGTGCTGGCAGTCCTCGGCAGTCCTCGGCGGTCCTCGGCGGTCCTCGGCGGTCCTTGGCGGTCCTTGGTGGTCCTTGGTTGCGGCTGTGTCACTGCAGTCTCCGCCTCCGTCGTCATAGGGCGTTCTCCCCGTGTCTGTGTCTGGGGCCCACCCTAGTATGACCTCATCTGAACTTCCGTCTTAATCTCATCTGCAAAGACCTATTTCCAAAGAAGATCCCATTTGTAGCTACTGGGAGTTCGGACCTCAACATGCCTTTTTGGGGACACATTTCAACCCCTAACACACAGGATCCTTTGGGGCAGGAAAACGGCTTCCTCTCCCAGCTGGCCCCACGGAGGACCGGGCACACTTGCGTCCGGGGGGCCCGGCTGCCGATTATGAAAGGTTGTTGGGTGTCCCGAGCATAGAGTCCCCCACAGATGCAGCCTTCAGGCCTGATCACCTTCATCTCCTTCCTGTGAGACCCCACATCCCCCATGGTCAGTCATAGCCCCCCACAGGGCCAATGCCCCTGCAGACAGGACTCAAGTCACCCCCTGCCCCCAAGCGCCAACCCCCCAAGGCCCCTGGCTTCTCTCTTGAGTCTCCAGCGTGCCCAGCCTGTCTGGGGGTGCGGGAGGCGGGCACTTTATCTTTGCCCTGAAGGAGTTCGAACCACCACAATTTACAGCTCCAGCTTCCAATCTCAAACATTGGCTGTTTCCGGAGCCTTTAAAATACAGTCTCCACAGATGCTCTGGGCACTGTGCTTACGAGATGCTGAGCAGAAGGGCTGAGGGTGTCTGCCTTCTTCCCCCGCCCCCACCCTTGGGCATCCGTCATCCGCAGCGGGCTTTAGCTTTGGGCGAGGGATAAGCTGCTGCCCCATGAGGCCCACATCACCAGCAGGGATGCAGGTCCCCAGCCAGGAGCCTGGCACATAGTAGGGCTGCGAAAGAAAGAATGAGCTCCTTAGGCCACCCCCACCCCACCTCACCCCAGAAAAGACCACACGTCTCCCCGGGGTACTCGGGGACCAGGCAGGACTATTTAGGACTTGGACGGGCAGGTGTCATTGCGGGTGGAGCCCAGAGGTGGGCACCCACCCATGTCACAGTGGAACCACTGCTGGCTTCCCACCTCCTCCCCCCATCATGGGGATTTAGATGGGGGCAGGGTGCTCCCCAACTGCTGCTGTTTCCTAGGCCCCTCATGTCCCAGCTCCTCAGCGGTCTGTCCCACCCCCCGGGAGGAAGGAGGGATGCAGAAAGGACTGAATTCTACCTGGGAACTGTGGGTCTCACTCACGGCCTTAGCCTGCTTGTCTCAAGGTCAAGGTGTGTCTTTAGCACAGTTCCAGGGCCAAAACCCGCGGAGGGAGGGCAGAAGCGAAGCCAGGTGGTGGAGGCACGGCCGCGAGACAGGCCCGCTCAGTGGCCTTGAAACCCGGCTCTGCCACTCCTGGTGGGAGCGGACAGTTATGAAGCTTGCAGCCCTGCAGGTAATCAAGGGTGGTGATGGCGGTCCCCACTGCTCAAGGATGGGGAGGAACCGCTGACGATGGGGGTACTGTGGTAAACAGAATAATGGTCCCCCAAAGATGCTCACATCCTAACCTGTGGCTATGTTTCATTAGATGGCAATGGGGAGCAGATGGAATTCAGGGTGCTCATCAGCCGACTTTAAAATAGGGAGATGAGCCGGGACCACCCAGGTGGGCCCAATGCAATCACGAGGGAGGAGGAAGAGCAGCTTGGGCGATGCCGGCCTCGAAGATGGCGGAAGGGGCCACGAACGGAGACAGGTGGGCGCCTCCAGAAGCTGGGCAAGGCAGGGGATGGCTTCCCCCCGGAGCCCCTAGAGGAGCCGGCCCCGCCACACCTTGATCTGAGCTGCTGAGACCGGTGTAGACTTCCGACTCCCAGACGGTAAGATGATAAATTGGTGTCGTTTTAAGCCACTCAGCTTGTGGCGATTTGTTACAGCGGTGACAACCAGAAACCAGCACACGCGCCTCATTCCCAATCCGCCCGCTGATGCGGCCTCCTCAGCCCCCCAGAATGACCGCCAGCCATCAAACCTGCAGCCTCTCTTCACCAATGGGACACAGGCCCCCAGAGGGTATCAGGGCCACACCAAGAGCCCCAGGTGCTACAGAGCGGGCCTCAACCGCCCCGCAGGCTCCCTGGCGCCAGGCTGTGGGTGGGCAAAGGGTAGAGCCGCAGGGAGCGTGAACTGACCCTCCGGTCCTGAGTGGCCTGTGCTGTCATGTTTCCCCTCCCTGCTGTCCCAACAGAGCGGGGGCCGGGACTGAGCCTGTCCCCCTGACCTGGATCTTTGAAATGTCTGCATTTGTCCTTCAGTAAAGCTCTCATTTGTCAAAATAAAGAGCCGGAATGGAGGGTTCTGAAGACCACCAGCAGCTATTGCCTGGCGATGGTGGGGCAGGAGGGAGCCCTCCCCCAGAACGCACCCTCGTGGGTGCGAGCCGTGAATTGTGTTCTCCCTCCCCGCCCAAGTTCATATGCTGTATAACCCCCAGGTCCTCAGAAAGTGACTGTGTTTGAAGGTAGGGCCTTAACGAGGTGATTAAGTTAAAATGAGGTCACTGGGGTGGGCCCAAATCCAATAGGACAGGTGTCCTTATAAGAAGAGGAAATTTGGACACAGATACACACAGAGGGACGACCATGTGACAACACAGGGAGAAGTCGGTCGTCTACCAGCCAAGGACAGAGGCCTTGATCTCGACTTCCGGCCTCCAGGACTGTAAGAAAATAAGTTTCTGCCATTTAAACCCCCAGTCTGGCACTTTGTGCCGGCAGCCCTGGGACTACAGCGGGTTTATCAGGTCAGCCGGCTATCACCTGTTACCACAGGAAGAGCAAGGCTCAGGAGAGACTAGGACACACACCCGGTGAGTCTGGGGACACGCCTGGGGGCACCATGCTGCTGCACCCGCCTGGCTGCTTCTGGCAGCGTGGGGAGACCACAGTGCAGGGGGCCGCCCTGGAAGCGCTGGCATCTCCACAGACACTGTCACCGGGTCCTGAGCCCCTGCCCAGGGGAAGCCACTATCCAGTCGAGGCAGTTGGTCGGATACAAAGTCTCGTGTCCTCAGCCCCCTCCCTACCTGGGGAAAACTCTGGAAGGGGCAGCAGAAGCGAGAGGCAGGAGCTAGAGAAACACAGACTTCAGGAGCAGCCGCCATCTGGCTGCGGGCGGAGACGGAACATCTGGCCCACGGCGTTTACGTAACCCACGGGTGAGCCCTGGCCGACTTCCGCCGTGTGGCCACGGGGCCGCATGCTGAGAGGGCTGTCGTGGGGACGTGATGATGCTGGACCACGGTGCCTGGCACGAGGCTAGAGCCCGTGCACACACGTGCACGCGTGCGCACACGCACTCTCAGCTCGGTTCTCTCACATGTGAAATTACACACAGGAGACCTCCGCTTCCTCCCAGCCCTAACGCTCTGTGACATGCACAGACGTGCCCACGTCTAACTCTTCGTGTGCCTTGTAAATACATGTAGATGCGCACGTGGAAATGTGTGTTCATATTTACACGCACGTGCCTTCACGCATACACCTACACACAAAACGGTGCTCAGGCCGACAGGAATACCTCTCCCCTTGCACCTGGTGTGCACGCTCGCACCCAGGTGTACGTGTACACACCTGGCCTTGCATAAGTGTATGCTCACGTACGCAAGTGTGCTCTTACACGAGCATACGCACTGATACACTCGCATCCACGTAGTTAGATTTACCAGGCTTGCCAGATTTAGCAAATAAAAATACAGGATGCAATATTTGGGTCACACTTATACTAAAAAACTATCTGAAATTCAAACTTATGTGTGTCCTGCCTTTTATCTGGAAGCCCAAATATACATACACGTGCACACACACACACACACTCATGAAGCCAGCAGAGTCCCCGGCCCAGGCCAGGACCTGCTGTCTCCCTAGCAGAGTTCCCAAGACCGTCCCTCTGTCTGATAATTAGACCTGCAGCTGCACTCGGCCCCCATTACGGGGCTGACTAGCCTGGCCCAGGCCTCGGCTGGCCCGTGGGACAAGGATGGGCTTCCAGCTGGAGCACACCTATTGCTGGGATCCTAGAGAGCTCTCCTCACCAACAGCCCAGCAGGGAGGTCTCGTAGCAGTGGGAGCCCTGGGAACCCCACCCCGGAGCCGAAGCCGGGGCCCCCAGGGCTGGCCTCTGGGAGGTTTGCCCAGCTGGGGTCAGAGACGCAGTCTGAGGCCCGAGATG